GGGAATTTTTTGTTATTGGGAAAGCAATAAATGGGGCATACGGAAATGATCAGTAAGCTTCAGTCTGTTCATATATGCAGTCAACTTTTTCCCCTTTGGTAAGAAACTGCAAGAGATAGATAGCAATCCAGTATATTTATTTTAAGCTTATAACCTGCCTTTTTCCTCCTTTACAAAGAACAGAGGAAGGCTAGATTGAGAGTCAGTAGCTGGCCTAAAGTCACCCAATAAGCTTCATGGTTGGGGGAGCACTACAACCTGGATCTTCAGAATCCCATTCCGACACTTTGAATCATTAGACTACACTGGTTTGTATCTCATCCTTTCTCCCTGGAATTTAGGACAGGACAATAGGATTCTATACTATTTTATTTGCATGCAAAACCCTTTGAAATAGAAAGATTGAAAGATAGTGACTGGCAGAAGGTCATCCAATGACACTTGGTACCTGAACCCAAGTCTTCCAGGTCCATCACATTACACTGCACTGACTCTAGAACTACTGCAGAGATGGGAAAGGCCAAAACAGAACAGGTTTTGTTTAGGTCTTTTAAGTCTAACATACACGGTTACAATTTCAAGACTGTAGCAACAGTAGGGTTTCTCCAAGTAATTCTGTGCCTAGAGATCATTAGAAAGGAATGCTTTGTGGAGCGGCGAAAGAAAACAACCTGCCACCATGCATGAACTTGCATTCAGACATAGGTGTCAGGTCAGCAACCCACCAAAATGACATCACTCCTGCAAGATACAATTTTCATAGCTGGATTTAAAAAAGGGGGAAAGAAGATGTACTAATGCCAGTTTTTTTAAACTTCTGTTTATAGTGGAGAAAGTTATCTTGAAGCGAAGCGTTTCTTTGTATTATCTATTCAATGCAATTGTACTCAGAAAAGCAATTCTTGCCATCCCACCCCACTGCCCTGCCATAAGCACATCAAAAGATGCCTCGGTGTCTGGTGGTGAAGACCAGATGACCCCACGCTATTAGTGGGTAACTGTCAAAGTGTAATCTCTGTGTTTTATAGGCTTGCCAAAGTGCCTCCCTAACCCTGTAAGTTCACACATGTAACCTTTTCGTTTACTGAACTTGGCCAGCCTGTTCAAGGCAACTTTAGTTTAGAAGGCTTGTCAAAGGCATCTAATTAGAGCGAAATGTAACTTTTCTTTATGGTGCTGTGATGTGTATCCAATCACTTGCCTATCCATATCAAAGTATCCAATCACCTTCCTGTGTATTGTATCCACTCTCCTTTTGTGTATTCTATATAACCCTAAGGAAATTAACATGGGGTGTTCCTACTTAGGCACCCATGGATCCATGCATTCAATTATAAATAAATCTATTTGCCCTGACAAGAAACTGATTTCCGAGCCTTTGAACTGCAGATCGGTGTGACACAATGTTTTAAAATACATTTCTGTCAAACTTTCAGTGTAGCAATCTGGTACCTCTGCTTTTGTTCCTTTGTATTGCTACTTCACAAGAACACTGCTAAAAATTATCAACCTTGATCAACTATCTCTAATACCCATTTCAAAAGCAGGGTGCATCTGCCATTCTGACTGTAACTAATCTAACTGCTGTTAAAGCAAATGTGAGGCTTTAACAAAGGTCCTAGCCTTGTCAAGCAACTGAACTGTGTCCCAACACACATTTGCAACATTAATAAACCAGTGCATACTTTTCATAAGTGGTTACAGCTCTGAAACAGATTCTTATACTTTTCCCACATGGATTCCTCTGTTTCCTTAAAAAACATTGGTCTAATCAAATTTTGATGGCAGGTTTGGAAGATGTTTTGCAATGCCTTTTTAATGCTAATCATGGTTAAGGTTAATATCTCAGTACTAAGCATGTGGATACACTGGGGGAAAGTAGGCAAGGCACTCAAGGAGCACAAAGAAAAGGCTGCGGAAAAGCACTTACTTTGCATGCAGAAGGTCTTAGGTTAAATCCAAGGCATCTCCACCCAGGACTGGGAAAAAGCCCTCCTGCCTAACCTAGTGCCCTGGAGAGAATCAGGATTGAAAATAATGGGTCAGAGAGATCAAACGGTCTGACTCAGTATAAGGCAGCCTCCTAGATTCCCCAAACCCTTTAGGGCAGTGAATGAGGGTAGATACTGGAAATCCATTTCTTCTCAGGCCTGTTTTCTTCCTTTTCCCATAACACCTCACAGGCCTTTAAACTGGACCGTGTGATTAACAAGGAACTATGAGATTTGCCCCTTGAGAAAGAGAAGAAGGCAAGGGTGTGAACCTATACTTTGCCCTTAATCTCTTAACTGGAAAGCTGCACCAGGTTATTACAGCAAGTTTGGAATCACTGTGGCCACAATGGTGCCTTACTTTTACTGCATCTACACCTACAAGCACACTAAAGGGGAGCCCAAAGGATTTTCAATTATTGCCACCAGTCAGCACAGTTGGCAAGAAAAAGCAAGTATGCACTCATTTGATTACTGCATGCATAGTTCACAGTACAGTTAATCCAAACACACAGTTCCCAGGGGAAATGAATTTTGCTGAGCTTTGGTGGTTTGGGATTAAGGGAACTACAGTCATGATGTAACAGTTTCATTTTACACAGCAGTTGTTTACTAGGGGAATGCTGAAAAGACAGTTGGTAAAGAGGTTCCCTCCACCTCATTATCAGGATTGGATTTCATATAATTAATAAATGAGAAATACAAGTGAGGAACTGCAACAAATTGTTGCAGTAATCCCCCCATATACCCACATACCAGGTTCCAGCTATCTTGGAACAAGAACTTCATAAGTGCTCTGTGTGTGTGTGCGCGCGCCACGGGGGGGGGGGGGCATTTTAGAGAAAAGAAGGAAAAAGACTTTTACCATCCTAAAACCTCCCTCTACTGTACTAAATAGTAATGGGGTCAGTGCTGGTTGCCAGTCCTGACTGAAACAAATTACTGGTATAACATGCATACCTTCCCTAATGCTTTGGAATCTGACTCCCATAAGTCCATGTGATCATTAACAATGATCAGGGAGCACAAAATATTGAGAAGGCATCAGGTTGGGAAAGGCTGCACGAAGCCATTCTTTAGTGTTACCTGCACAAGCCAGTGGTTTCTGTGGTCCTCATCCCATCACCTCTCCTAGTGTGGCTCTAAGGAGACTGGAAGCTTCACTTCCATTTTCAATTAACCACAGTTTCCCTATACAGTTGAATAGGAATCTGTGGTTAGTGCTAACTGTGGTGTAATGAAGAAGATCAGCATAATTAACAACAGTTTGAAATGAGCTTCTTTTGTTAAATCATAGTTAACACTAACCACCTTCTCCAGTTTGGCCATAATTAGAAATGATAATTACTTGAGAACAGAAGTGAAAGCTTCCAATCTCCTTTTCACAGCTCAGCCAAAAAGAAAAAGAAAAACCTCAGCAGGAGAACAGAATGCATGAATCCAAGACTTGTGTGTAGCAGTAAGGTATAGCTTCTTTTTTGCATCCAATTTGTAAGATACTTCTTGTATATCTCTCTGATCCCTAGAAGAAGTAAGGGTAGTTCATAAATATTTCAATAATTACCATGTGCAAATGCAGCACAGCCTTGGGCTGCAATCTACAGAATGTTTATTCCAGCAATACAGTAAGATGTTGCAGCATTCCTAACACACTGGATCAGCTAACAAGTTTCCCTTTCATTCTTATGGGTGTACACAAGCTGTCTTACAGTGCAAATCATGCGCACTTAAAACTCTCTATAAAGTTGCAGGTGTGCTATTTCATTTTGTGTAGGATGCTCATCCTGTGCCAACTTGCCTTCCATTGACAAATATGTCAGTATCATGATAAAGATGCTGTACTTATAATGGGCAACCCATTACTGAAGTGTCATGCATGTTGGTAGCAGTTACAACTCCCCCTTGAAAAATGTGCACATGGTAATCCATACCTAGAACACAGACATTTACACCATATCTACCTGTAAGTTTTCAAAGTTGTACCTGATAGAGAAGGAGGAAAGGCACAGGCACTGTCTTACAACAGAAGCAAACATTCATCCAGTAAGGTCAGATAGTGGTGATCAGATATAGAACAGAACAATAAATTAATAATCTCCTGAGTCAGAATCTAAACCTGCATCACCAGAAGCCTTAAAGGGGCCTGGAAACAGATGCTGATGATATCTTATGAACTGCAAGCATGCCAAAGCATTTGAAAATGACAGAAACAAGGCCTAGGGCAGAGAACACTCCTGGATTGTCCCCACGCATCACTGAACATTTTACTCCTTCTGGTCAAAAGCACAGTACAGGAATAATGTTCTAAGACTGATGATATACATTAGCAAAACCCTCCAGAATAACCCTCACAGAATCATCTGAATGCCTTTTCTTTGGGATCCACAAGTCAAAATGGCATCACTCAACTCCAGTATCATCATCAGCACTCCCATGCAGACCACAATCCAGAACATGAGCTGCACTGAATGAAAGACACGTACATTCAGGCACTTTGTGGCTTTACTCCATGCATGTCAGGTCCCAGCTGAATATCAGAACAGCCACATGGATACTGCCAAAAGGCCCTTCCCCTTGACCACAATCCGTGCAAGCACAACGTGTAGAAGCCACAAGCATCACACATGCACACCAAGGCCAGCCTACACATTTTGCATGCAATGAGAAGAGCTAGGCCACTTGATGGGGCAAAAGATGAGCTCCTGCACCATGTGAAGCACTGCCATGGGAAGCTGTGTGCCATACCTGCAAAGTGGCTCAACTCAGGAATGAAGCCCCGGCACAAAATTAGCTGAGGAAGCCCACATGTGGGCAGCCACTCTCTACGGTCTTTCGCAGCTCTACGGCTAAAATTCTACAGTCTCCTATATTCCATACACGCAATTGTGTTGCAGGTCCGAAAGCAAAACACTGCAGATGTCAAGCCCAGTTAAAGAAGATGCTAGTCCCACCAACCAAGACCGGCACAGGCCACTTCAGCCACTCACATGGACTGGACGTGGTGCTTACCTTGCTCACTATATTCTGCTGAAGGCCAGCCGTGATCCGGTGGTACCGCTCGCTGCAAAGGCAGTGGCTGTTGTTCTTCGGCTCATCGGTGGGCAGTTCTGCAGCAGCCAGCATCCCGCGGCTATAGCCGCTGCGGTCGCTATGGTTGTAACCGGGGGTCGGCGCGAGACCCCTCGCGGGCACTGGGGGGTGTCCTGTCCAGTTGCTCTGCCCATCCGTGCCCTTACACCAAGAGATTGGCTGGACCAAGAGGAAGCTGTCCGAGAACTGGCTGAAGCCGATGAAGAGGGCCGGGATCCAGGTGAGAAGGATGAGTGTCTTCTGGTGGCCGCCGCCCAGCCCCCCCAAGAAAGGTAGCACGGACCCATCGTAATCCAAGAGCAGGGGGCTGCAGGACCCGGAGGGAGGCGGCGCCGTAGGAACAGGCAGGCTCTGGATCTCCGCTGCCAGACCCCCTGCAGGGGGTGCGGCTGAGGCGGCTGCTGCAGCCGCAGGGTCCGCCTCTCCGGCAGGCAAAGAGCCGTTCTCCTCGGGGAGGGGCTGGCCTCCTCCGCCGCCGCCACCTTCCTCTCGTCGCCGGTCTATCGCCATCCGGCAGGAGGAGGTGGAGGCAGCCGGCGAGGCTCACATAGAGCGGACCGGGGGAGGCTGCGCACGGCGCGCACCGGCGGCGGCTGTCGTCGTCGTCGCCGCCGCTGTTGCCGCGATCCAAGCGCTTCGCGAGTCTGTCGCGACGCTGCAGCCACGGGCCGGGGGGGACGGAGGCGGACTGCCCGGCCGGATTCCCTGCCAACAGGCGCACACGCATAGGTGTCCGCGGATCTGCCTGGAGGCGCCCGGGGCCGCCGATCGCGTGCCTCAGCTCCCCTCGCTTCAAGGCGCGCCCATCTTCCGCCGCTGCCACTCCCAGCCCGCTTTGCTTCCCTCCCCTTAAAATCTTCGTGCGTCTCCCTCGCCGCGCCCGCCTCCTCGTCCCTCGGCCACCGGGACTCTGCGGGAAGCCGGGCGGCCCGGGCACAACAGCGCTGCTGCCGCGGCGGGCGGCAGTCGCGGCTACAGGGTCCCTTTCTGCTCACTGGGGAGGCAGCGTGGGTGGGCAGAAGAACGACCCGGCGACCGGCTCGTCGAGGTCTCTCGCCAGCCCGGCGAGCCGCACATCAGGCTCGGCTGGGGGAAGATTTCCCCCTCGCCAGGGATCTGAAGAGCGGGCGAGGAGTCGAAAGCAGCCGCATTCGCCGCCCCCGGGAGAAGCTGGCTGTGGCTGTGGCGGCGGCTTCTTTCTCGGCTGCAGGTCGCCTCGGCTCTCCGCAAGAGGAGGCTTCTCGGGAAGGGGGTGGGGAGGCTACGCCGCGGCGGCGGCGCCTCGCCTCTCGCTCTGCCTCTCTGCCGCTGCTCCTCCGATGCCTCCGCTTTGCTCTCAACCTGCAAGCCCAACCCCCTGACCCATCGTCCGCCTCTATCTCCTCCTCTCCCGGAGGTAAAGGTAACAGCAGCGGCCGCAGCACCTGCTCTTCCTCCCGCCGCTGTTGCCGCCGCCGCACTAAACCTTCGCGGCCAACCGGCTCCCCCTGTCGGGAACTACAGGAACGCCCCCCCGCTTCCGCCCCTAGGTCCTCGAGCGGCAAGCCCTCTGCACGACTCGCGGGCTCCGAGTTCCCGCCACTTCGAGACGGGGGTGCGCCGCGGCGGGGGAGGAAGCGGGGGACAGGCTGGCCTTCACGTGTAAACCGTGCGTGGCCCTTGCGTGTTTTTCTTCCTCGGAAGTAAGTTCTGCAGAGTTCAGTGGGGGACGGGCTTTCCGCTAGACAACCTGTAACATTCCCCCATGGTTTTCACGGGCGCATCTGCAGTGCACACGGGCAACCTGATCCTAGGCGTGTTTTACTCGGAATCCCCGCTGAACTGGGTGGGCTCCCATCTTCGAGTAAACGTTGTCCTGGAGTGCACTTGCAATAAGTACTTGTTTTGCTCAGAAATCAAACCCACTGAAGTCAGCGGGATTTACTCACAGGTAAGTGTGCTTAGGACTGCGGGTGTTACTTAGCTCGAAAGTGAGATTGTCCCAGGGAATTGGGGTTCTGGCCTTGGTTACAGGCCCCCAGTTTAGCTGTGCCCATGCTGGTGTCCTCCTGTTGTGTTGGACTGTAACTCCCATCATGCCAAGTCATATACTGGACATGATGAGAAATATAGTCAGCACATCTGGAGGGCACCAGGTCGGGGAATTGTCCTACTACCTTCACAGAGTTGAGCTTTCTCTCTGTGTTTTTGGCTGGGAGCTGTAACATTTTAGCCATCCTTTGCATACTTACCAGGAGGAAGTCGAACTGAATTAAATGGGAACTACTTTGAGTAGCAGGCATGCATAAATTTAACCTGTAACCAGGCTAGACTGGCTTAAATAGATGGCTGTAGACTAAACAAGGGCTGCAATGATGAGTCAGTTGGAAACGGCTAAATGGAAGATGTTTTAAATGAATAAAAAGAGCATCCCAGTTACTGAGGAATTGGGGTTTTTTAGATAGCTTATTTATGCACATGAGCTTACAACAATAAATAGGCAGTAGACAGCATCCTTGAAGGGGTATACTTACTCCTTTCCAGGGCTATCCCAAGACACTTGCTGTCTGAGCTGAAGGACAACATGGCACTGTTCCATATTAGGAAGCCAACCAGGCTGCCTGTTGAGTATAACCACTCCATTACACCTGAGGCCATTCTGGAGGACAAGGGCAGGTGAGCTGCATGACACACAGCTCTGTCCTCCAACAATGTGAAATGTCCAAAGGACTTCAGAGGAAAAGATCTTGCTGACGCTTCCTCACATTCTTTTTCTTAAGAACTGTTTATTTCATGGAGATTTCATAAATAACTCATATAATTAATTCGATAGCATGAGTAGATATTCCTAACTGCAAACAGATTAGCTCCCTTCCCTCCAAGAGAATTAGGGTACAATCCTGTGCATGTACAATCCTGCCCTAACCAGCTGAGGGGAAAAGGTTGCATTGCCTTGCTTCCTGTTTCAATATGAGAGGTGTGGAACAGAAAGAAGTGTGACACAGAGGAGTTGTAGACTCTCAAGAGCAGAGCTCAGCCTGGTTGTGGATTGTTTAGCTGTAAGATGTCTGTCCGGCCATGGACTAGGTCATTAGGCAAGTGTGATATTGTGGACACAGTGATGCTCAGAGCACCGCAATCTTATGCATATCTTTGTTGTTCTTATGTGCAGTCAAGTCAACTCTGACTTAAGGCATTCAGATGAATGAATGCTTTCCAGAATGTCCAGTCCTTGACAGTCCTACTCAGCTCTTGCAAACTCAAGGCTGTGGCTTTCTCAATGGAATCCATCCATTTTGTATTTCGTCTTCCTCTTCTTCTGCCTTCAACTTTCCCTACCGTTATTCTCTTACCCAATGAAACTTTTCTTCTCATGTGGTGCCCAAAGTACAAGTACACCAGAAGTGGGCAACTATAGGCAGTCTGGGACCCAGTATTCACTTCCCAGACTTCCATAGAGGCTTCAACTGCTGTTATCACACCACCCTCAGAGGCAAAAACAAAAAACTGGTTTGGACACCTAGATGATATTTCACTTGAACACAACTTTTGAGTCTCTAGCAGTAGAGACCAAATCTTGAGCTATTGCAGGGCCTAAAGTCAGCGGTAAAATTCAGCAGCAAGTGTGGTGGGCTGCATATGGCTCCATGGACTGTGCGTTACCCACCTGGCTATACCTGCCTGGGAGTAAGATTCATTGAACTCTTCCGAACAGGCACACCTCAGAATGTGCCATAACATAGCTATGTGGCTGGCTATAAATGGTATGAGACTGTGCTCAGTGGTGCAAATCAGAGATCAGACAGAACTCAGCAAAACTCACTTCCTAAGCTGCCCTTCCATCCTTGATGTGGCTGGAATTTGTCTTCCTTTCATGTACAGGAAACTGAGAGTGCACAAATTTCACTGACTGTGTTATCTTCTCAGTGTATACTCAGAAGCAAGCCTCATTGATTTCAGTGGGGGCATACACTGAGCTAAGTGGATATAAGCTGACTATCGGAGCCTGTTTTACAAAACCAATCAGGTGTTTGCACCTTTCCTCCTCTAGCTGAGGAGGAAAGGTTAATAATAAACTGGTTAGACCAGTTTTTTAAAAGTCAAGTCATCATCTATTTTCTGAAGGGCATCAGCCCTGTGTGTACTGCGCTGTCCTATCACTAGATCCACTGCATATAAGAAACCGGAAATTAAAGCTGGGGAGAGCATACTTCAAGCTTTGAAGAGCCACTTTGATTTTTAACTAGAACCCCACCATCCACCATTCAAAACTTGGTGCAAAAAGCACACACTTAGAATTGGAAGCTTTTAAAATTTTCTGTGACGTTTGGAGTACCAGAACTTCAGCACCAAAACGTATTCCTTGTGAGCCCATGCCATCTTCATTTCAGCAGTGGAACGGAGGATGGGGGCAATAATTTGACTACCTCTGTTGTTAAGCAATTAGGAATTGGAAATCTTTGCCAATTAATTGCAAATTATGCAGTAGAACCAGATCTGCTTTCTACCCACCTGTGCAGTAAAGCATGCCTTCACATGTAACCCTCTGGGCTACTAGGGTGGTATATAAATGCAAATAATAAATGCCTTCACATTTCACAGGAAAATGGACCCAGGTGCTTTTATAACTGTGTTTTCACAGCAAAGATCTCTTGCTCTGATGTTCAGTATTATAGGTGACATCATCATCATCATCATTAGGTGAGAAGTTGAAGATTTTAAAACCTCTGAATCAATTAGGTTGCACTCCAGAAGAACAGCAAAATATTCTTCTACATTTTATTTATTTTATATATGTATAGCCTGCCCATTTTCCTTTCAAGGAGCTCAAGGCAACTTACATAATCATTCTTCTCCTCTTGATTTTATCATCACAACCAACCTGTAAGGCAGGTTAGGCTGAGAGTCAGTGACTGACCCAAAGTCACCTAGTGAGCTTTGTGGTCAAGTAGGAATTAGAACCTGGATCTCCCGGACTCTAGTCAGTATGGTATTCATAGTGGCTTTCTGGATAGTCCATTGGGGGACAAGGTGATGGTGGAGACTCGTTGCAGAGATTTAACTTTTAAAGCAGGGATGGGATGCATTTGGCCCTTTGGAAGTTGCTGAACTACAGCTCCCATCATCCTTGGACATTGCCCATGTTGGCTGGGGCAGATCAGAGTTGGATTTCCAACAATATCTCTAGGAGCACATGTTGTGGCCTATACACTATGAAGCTCGAATAGGAGCAGGTTCCCAAAACTAGTGACTCTGCTCCTAAGACAGACATATCAGAGGTTCCCTTTGCCATATTCCAATATTTTATTCTGTCTGCAAAACTGTGAGCAAACCCAGATTCAGGGATGATAGCTAGAATTTTCTCACTCAATGGCTGGAAAAATAGCCTTGCAACCATCGTTTTTCTTTCCTCCTCCTGTTCTCCCCCTGCTTGGGGATATGAACACAATGAAGACAGTGCATAGTAGGTTGACTAAAAAAGATATGTTTGCAAATCGATTTTGTATGCATGGAGGCAAATTTAGAAATAATTATAATTTAGGGACAGGTAAATTAACAATGTTCAAAGTCACTAGATTTTCTGAAAATTGTCTTACCACTTGTCTGGGTCTAAATCATGTCACACCTGTGATCATTGCTTGCTCTTTGCCAATAGGAAACTTGAGCATTGGTATAAAAGACAAGAAGTCATAATCAAGAAATATATACTACAATTAAAGCACAACTGA